ACCAAGTTAAATGGGTCCCAAACCATTGGGTATGCATTCCACATGGACAACTAGGCTAAAGACTAGGGTCGGCTAGAAATGAATGTTTAGAAGGACGCCTTTGATAAACGAGATGAGCCAAAATCTGCTCCGATACCATGATAGAATTTATGATAAGGTGTGAGTTATTGGGTTGGTCCATAAGACACTAGGGTTGAACCACATTTAAAAGATTGAATCCAATCAATTACTTAGTTTGAACCAAGAGCTTATAAACTCATTTGCTTTCTCTTCAAGTTCTGATCCAATATACTCTCTATTAGATTTCATTAAAGGATTGTGAGAATTTTAGAAAAACAGGATGAATCTCATTCCCGAGTGCCTCCTCGGAATCGGCTGGGCGATCACCAAGGAAAGGGTAAATTGAGTTATAATCATAGTCTAGCTGTCAAAGAGTGGAACCTGCACATGGTGTGAGAATTCAAGAGAGTGTAAAGTGAGAGAGATGAATATTGAACACGCTACATGTTCTTTTATTTAGAAAACGAAGGAAATAATGTTATAAGCTACATATTCCTTTAATATTCCATATTTAGTCCCCAATTGTAAGATATTCCATAAACAGTTCTCAATTTTTGAAAACTATTTTACAAGTAGTCCTTTTCACCAAATATGACAAAATATTTTGAGTAAGTTTTTAAAATTATTATTTCTAATAAGGTTTTTTTCCAAAGTAATTCTCAATATGCAAAAATTACTAATGTGGTCCTTTATAATTGAGTCGTGTTTCTTAAATAGACCTTTATAAAAAATACTCCCTCCGTCCTATAATGATCTTCCCGGTTCGCAAATCGAAGAAAAATCCCAAATTTTTTCAATCTATTTTATTTAAATATTGGTATAGAAATAAAAAATAAAACATACATATTTAAAAACTACATCAAAAGTTCAACAAAACAAGTGGTGACAAGAATATTTTATTTTAACATATAGGCCATGAAAAAACACAAATAAATATAAATTCCCGTGAAGTTGGAATAGTGCTCTGGGAAGATCATTATAGGACGGAGGGAGTAATGGAATTTAAATAGAGGTTATTTTGATGTTTTTTATTATCTAAAGTATGAATAAGTTCTCAAAATGATTTTTTTAAATTAAGTGGGAGGCTACTGATAAATAATAATTACCAACATGGTCTTTTATAATTTAGATTTATTCTCTAAATGGTCTTTCGCCTAAAATGCCTATTAAATGCCGGTGAATTAGAAGGTTTTCTTTGTAATAGAGTTCATGAGCCAACTCGGGGTGGGTCCCTTCTTCTAGTAGCCTCCCACTTAATTAATTTAAAGTTATCATGTTCAAAACTTATTCAGTTATTCATACTTTAGATAATAAAGATCATCAAAATGTCCAATATTAAACTGTTATTTAATATGCACTTTTGATAAAAGACTATTTAGGGAACAAATCGTAATTGTAAAGAACCACGTTAGTAATTTTTAGTTATTGAGGATTACTTTAGGGAATAAACCTTATTAAAAAGAACCATTTTGAAAATTACTCTAAATATTTTTTTATATTTGGTGAAAAGGACTATTTGTGAAATAATTTTCAAAAATTAGGGACTATTTATAGAATATCTTATAATTTGGGACTAAATATGGAAAATTACATATAATTGAGGATCATTTATGAAATTTACTAAAAAAAAGGAGTATGTTCAATTAGAAAGAATACAATAGTAAAAGCATCTTATACCAAAAGGTAAGCCACAAGAGAAGGGGACACATAGAATCACGTACTCATGGCATAAAAAACTTAACATTTTTGAGTCATACGAGTAACATATATATGCTGAATTCCCCCGATCACATTATTTGAACTTTGAAGATGTTCGTCTTTAGGTATAAATAGGTTAAAACATGTTTTAGCTAGGAAGAAACATTTAAATATTAATAAGACATAAGACAATAATTCAAATAGAGTCTTCATATTTTATCTCACGTACAAAATAAAAATTATAATGCCAATAATATATTCTTACCGGTGGCAGAGCCAGGGCCGGGCTTCCGGGCGGACACCATTTTAGATAATGGGATCTCAATTAACGCTTGAATTTTTTTTAACACAATATAAAATGAAAAATATTCTTATCTCAAAAAATTTTTAACTTTTCCAAAATATTTTATTTAAAAAAACCCTAATTTTGAATTCAATAAAAAACAGATTAATTAATTTATTACTCCTTCCGTCTTTCTAAGATATTCTCGTTTTGAATTTTTGTGATTTTTAAATAGAATTGAAGAATCGTAAAAGTTTACCAAAATATCTTTAATAAAAGTGGGTGAAATTTATTAAATAAGGTGTGTGAGGTGTAATAAATAGAGTAAGTAGAAGTAATTATATTATGAGGTAATGAGACGATTTATATGAAACAAATAAAAAAGGTTATTAGACTCTCTTCTTTTTTGTTGGAGTTCTAAGGTTGAATGTTGAAAGAAAACTAATTTTGGACAAAAATATTCACCTTTGTATGAAAGTTATGTTATAAAATTAGATATATAATGTTATCGTATAGTCATTATATCTATATACATTTTTTAAGTAATTCTTGAAAAAAACTGGAATGAATTGAAAAAACTAGGAATTTGAAGAAATTGGAAAAAATAGAAGTTAATTTTTAATGCGTCTGACAATTGATAATATCGGAACTGATACACTTAAATTGACATAGATTTTTGGCACGGACGCATCGTGCCAAAAAGGAGCACAAACTCGCCGGTCAAATTTTGAATTTCAAATTTCAAAAATAGGCACGAGATTTGTCATGAATCTATCTGTGTAAAAATATTTTGGCACGTATGTTGGCACGAACACGCCATGCCAAAAGGGAGCTCCAATGCACCGATCAAATTTCAAAGTTTAAATTTTAATAATAGGCATCGGATGTGGCACGAATCTATCTCTGCCTAATTTTTTTTGCATGGAATTTGGCACGGAAACGTACTTGCCAATTAAAACTAAATGAAATTTTCACACGATTGAGACACCGTTTCAACGTCTATTACCTTGGCACGATTTTTAAGTAGAGTTGAAGAAAAGTAAAAATTTTCCAAAATATCCTTAATAAAAATGGGTGGATTGTTTTAAATAAGGTGTAATAAATAAAGTGAATAGAAGTAATTATATTGTAATATTTAATATGTTAAAAAGGTAATTTGAAAATTTATATGAAAAAAATAAAAAGGGTTAGATTGTTCTTTTCGGTTGGAAGTCTAAAGTTGGATGTTAGAAGAAACTTAAAAGAGTTGGAAAAATAGAAGAGTTGGAAAATGTTAAAAAAATAAAGTGTTAAGAAAATCATTCAAGCAAATTATCACCCAAATAAATACTCCGTATGTAAGAAAGCTAATTTTGGATATAAAAAGAATTCACCTTTGTCCGTATTTAAGGTGTTATGTTACAGTACACTCATTATATCTATGTACATTTTTTAAATAGTTGTTAGAACAACTAGAAGTTGAAAAAAAAATTAGGAATTTCAGAATATTGAAAAAAGTAGAAGTTAATTATTCAAATCGAAAAAAGCAAAACCTTAATGCTACGGGGGCGGAGGGAGCATTAGAAAAACATCTCATAATGTCAAAATATGCTTCTTCTAATTAACTATCACTCAAATTAGGAAAAACAAAATTAGTCTTCTCCCTATTTCAGTATATTTGTACAATCTGACTATAAAAAGTCAAATTAGACTAATTTTAATCATTAGTTATTCTAAATTAATTACTGTAATGCATATTAATATAAAAAAATAAAAATTCAAAAAATAAAGTGATAGACGATTAATTATGAACCAATGACAATTCAACTACATCAAAAAGACAAAAAGAAATAAAAACATAACAATGGTCATTTAATTTAACTAGATAAGCATGAACCTATTGCCTACTAAAGTAGTAAAAAGCAAACACATGATAAGTAGATTTAATGTAAACTAAATTAATAAATATTTAAAAGAGTTTATGATGAAAACACGATGAAATAAGTAGGGAAAATATACCATATTACCATTTCAATAATCGTGAAGGTATTCTTCCAATTGCTTTGGAATGTTTGCAAAATCATCTACAAAAAAATTAAAATGTAACCTCAAATTTTAATATATAATTAATTAATAAAGCTTAACCAATATTGAGAACAATTTAAAGCTTCGGCGGTTCATGGGTTAAGAGAACTCCTAAATGGATCTATAACTCTTCCTCCAGTACTAAATGCTGACTCAGAAGCTATGGTAAAAATTGGCATTCCTAACACACTTTTTGCAATTTGAGAAAGAATTGGATACTTAAGTGAGTTCGATGTCCACTGGAAGAATACATTATAGTCATCACCAACCGATTGTAAAACACCCTCAGACAAGTATATATCAACTTCAGATTTGTTATCCATAGTCTGTGCTACTAACAAATCTCTTTCAACTTCTCTTTCAAGAAAATCATCATCATCAATATCTAAAGAGATTGGAGCTACACTTGAGGACGTCGAAGCATGTATTATATCTTCACTTGATGCATGTCGAAGATACTCTTCATACAAAGATTCTAGAGTTTCTCTCACTCTTTTAAGGAATATCACTTGTTTATCTCTATCATTTTCACAAATTTTTTTAGGCACAATTCCACATATTATCTCTAATTATAAAAGTATATTTTTCAAAGTTTGACCAAAAATATGAAAGATATTTTTTTTATAATATTTATTCCTTTCGTTATGACGCATTAAACTATTTTAATTAAATTTGAAACAAAACACCTTCTATCTTAGTTGGTGAACATCTTGACACATATCCAAGAGGTTTGGAGTACTAATAATATTCAATACTTAGGATTTTTGGCCATTTGTTAAAAAAAAATTGGTTCAACCAATTTAACTGGTCAATTTTTACTAGTTCATAGTGATTTAAACTAATTGAGACTGAGTAAGAGTTTAAAGATTAGACCGATCATTTCGACTTTCGATTGCCGATTTACTACTTTTTGTTCTGAATATATCAGAATGGAATATGCTTTTTTGGAAATTCTCTTGATTTGACAAATATTTAACATGAACATTTTCATTGTTCAAATATTTTTCAATATATTTTCTTGAGAATTTTGATCCCAAAAGATTAAAATAAGAACATTATTTGTGGATGGATGGAGTACTTTTCTAATAAATTTGAATAGCACCTTCTCGGTATTTTCATTTGTCCCCCACATTTTAAAAAAATAAAATAAATAAAAAAGTAGATAAAAATGGGTGGTGGAGAAAGAAGTGGGGAACAAATTATTTTAAGATCCATGACCATGAAGATCCGCTCCTGCTTGCAGTCAGATATAGAGGCGAATACGACTTGTAATTAGCTGGCGACAAATTGGACAGTTAGACACTCTTTCACCACAATCCTTGCAGATCTGCAGGTATATGTATACATAATATGTGCACTCCATCAGCTTGAATTAATATAAGCTCAGTATTAGTTTAATTAATCATCTGATCTCTTTTATATGCTGCAAATTCAATTCTTTCAATTCCCGTTTATTCTATTATATTGAATTTTGAAAGAGAATTCTGTCTATTCTCATATTTTAGCAGTTTTGTAGACATCTGTTCATGTAAAATAGCGCTCAAATGAACAAGAATACCCAAATTATTGTAAAGGGTTATTGTATTCTGTATTTCTTTCAGAACACTAGTTGGATGTCTATTCAAAGTAATTTGCAACATAAGAAAGTACAGAAAATTTCTCAAAATAAAAAATTGTTTCTAAAAGAGTTAGTTGCTCTATCCGTCTCATCAAATGTTTTTCCGGTTTGACTGTATGGAGTTTATGAAAAGTATTGGAAAGTAGAAAGTATATGGATCAAATTCGTTTAGATGAGAAAAGAAATTTAGTAAGCCACATATACAACAATAACAACAATTCCCACACTAATGTCTCCAAAAATCGGGAGATATCAAAACACCCTTATTTAGGAGGTTTGTAATATGAAGAGATATCAAATCTTTCCATTCGCCCATCAATGGGTCCAAAAGCCCTAAACCTTCTTGTCCCAAATCTTGGAATGCACGACGCTGACAACCAAATCCGACGTTGCAAAGGTCCAACATCTCACCCCCCTTACCTCACGCAGGAGTACCTCGAGTCCCAAGACAGTGTTTTTTGTCTTGAAGCTTGAGGACCTTGCTCGTCCTCCTATGTTCTTATTAGATATAATTTTTGTTTTCACTTTCTTTAAACTTTTGAGAATCTTTTTTGAAGTGTCATTTCTCGTGAGAGAAAGCACTCTCATTATTGATGACTGATTGTTTTGAATTAGACTTTCCTTTTCTCCCATTTGATTATATTTGCCTCTTATGTGGTAGCTTTTTTTGTATTTGAATTGATCTTGTTTCTTTACTTTCTAATAACTTTATTTCATTTTCTTAATAAATGACTGTGCAAAGGAACAAATATCACATAAAGAGACACTTTCTCTATTGAATTAAACAGTAGTCTTGAACTGTTGAAGTTCGTCAGGAGGAGATGAAAATAACATAATAGCTAACATTATCTTCACATTTCACATCTAATTTCAACAAGTATGGTACAGACCAATTGAATATAATGGCATGTTCATTCAACATAGTGCTTGGTTAACAATCAGATGGCTTTGGGAAAGCCGATAGAAAGAGAAATTTGAGAGAGAGAGAGAGAGAGAAAGCACTGAAAGATGATTTGAATTTTAGAGAGATGAGTGAGAACAACCATGTCCTCTCCCTATAGGTTAGGAAGGGGCATATATAAAGGTGAACAGAGATGAAGCGCACACAGACACAATCCTAAATACTTCAAATCCAGTACAGATGGGTCAGTCCAAGAGGGCACACAACATACTAGACACTAAGACCTACCAGATGGCAGCCCGCCAGAAGAGAAACCACACCTGTTGGCTGCTTTGGTGAACTAGGTGGCAAGGGGAAATGGTTAGAGAGAGTAGGAGAAAATGGGATGGTTGGTCTAGAGCAGCATCATATGCTCCTAGAGAGAAAAATTTATTGGATGAGAATAACACATATGATTTTTTTGTATAATGCTCGTGTGCAAATATTACCGTGTTTTTCATTTACAAATCGGTCGTCGAAAGTGTATGTTTTATATTAAGTATGACCATTTTACTAAAACGTCAAGGGCTTCATATTTTCATCGCTTTCTCTATTCACAATTCTAAGTGACCTACTCCTTTGTTCAATCTTGTGTTTTGCCCATCGTCCATCCCCGTCCTTTAACCATCGTCCCTCACCTCTTCGCCTTATTCCAGGGAGTAGTAAATTCCGACTAGAGGCAGAACTGCAGAAGTCTGTCGCTGCTGGCTCGCCTTCCCAGTTCACAGCCACTAAGCTGAGGCTTAAAGAAGCAGAGGCTAGCGTGGAAGGACCAAGCTAACTATGAAAGCAATCCCTTAGGGGACCTCAGGGTAGCTAGTGGCCTAGCGAATGCAAATTTATTGATGGTTACCAATGCAGAAACTGAATTCTGGTATCAAAAAGCCAATATCACTTTGCTCAAAATGGGAGATGCACACACTAAATACTTCCACTCCTTTGCTAAAGGTAGTAGTGAAAAGTTAAAATTTGAATCCATTTAAGATGCTAATGGGCATTCAACCACTGATACAAAAGATATTGCGTAAAGTGCGAATTACTTCTCCAGCCTGTATAATGATGTGCACATTCCAGTACTCCAGCCTATTTTGGATCATATCCCCACAATAGTGAATGATGATGACAACAAGTTGATGAGTGCACTTCCATCATATCCCAATTTCCTAAATCTGTTATCAACACACTCTAAAGGGAAAGAAGTTAGCGGAGCTAAGAAAGAGGGAGGGATTGGAGTAAAAAACTTATATGAAGTGGAAGAGGCATACTCAATTAAGTAGTAGTAGAAATATAAACATAGCAGCTCCCTATGGGCTGAGTTCATGGAATGAAAATACAACAGATGCACCAAGCCTTTCAAAGAAAGGCTATTAGACTCTACATGTTGGAAGAGGATTTGTAGAGTAAATGATACTGCCTTACATCTTCCCTTGGAAGAGATTACAACTACGGAAAAGGGAAGGCCAAGATTTAATTTCAAGAAGGCTTGGGAACCACGAGATGACCAAGTCTTTCATTTGGAGTCCTTTAATCAATCAATACTAAGGTCCACGTGCACCTATGGAAGATGATACCAAAAAAGCTAAAGTGAATGAAGTACCATCTTCCCAGCCAATGCCAATTCTGTAAACGACGTGTTGAGGAGAGTATGGACCATACTATGCTTCACTGCCCAGTTGTTAGACCAAATGGAAGCACTTTAAAGAAGCTGTAACCAGACCAAATTTGAGAGATAGTATAACTTGAAAGCAGCACATGATTGTGTTGTGGCGCAAACCTTCCTTCCACATCGGAGGAAAAAAGAGAGAAAAACCAAATAAAATGGTTCAACCCAATCCATTAGTATGATGCCTATTGGGAGGTATCCAAAAATATTTTCATGAGAACTTGGCCCGGAGCAGACATCATACTAATGCAGGGTTGGGATGAGGGTATGTGCGGTCCCAACATGTGGTATCAGAGTTAGGTTCAGTGATTATCTATTTGATATACGTACCATCTTGCACTACTGTTACAACCCCATAGGACACATCACCCAACATGTGGTATCAGATTCAGGTTCATGCTGGTGGCTTGTGTCGAAAGTCTTCCTAACATGTGGTGGTCGGGCGGTGTGTTCCATTGGTGTTAACAGCGATACAAGATGATTTGGTAGATCACATGGTGTGACGAATTAGTTATCTGCAGTAGGCCATGTGTCAAAAGTCTTCCCGACGGGAGGAGGTCGAGTGACGCGTCCCTTGAGGTTCTAACAATGGTGCAAGATGGTGTGTATATCAAATGGATAATGGCTGAAGGGGAGGCCATGCATTGTGTGGTTGTTAGTTTGAGGAGAGGTTTGTTGGTGTGCAGAATTGCCTCCCACACTGGAATAAAAAGGAGAAAAGAATCAAAATAAAATGATTCCATTAGTATGAGGCTTTTGGGAGGTGCCCAAAAACAAATAAAAAAACGAGGGCTTGGCCTAGAGTCCCAATATCATACTAATGTAGGATTAGGGTGAAAGTACGTGTGGTCCCAACTCCAAGAGATTGAGTGGTGGGTTAAAGCAAAAGAAAGGAACTTTAGAGGAGCACTTCTTTTCTCTTTGTGTGGCATCAAAACTTGGACAGTTTGGAAGAGGTATATAAGTATATAACACAACCATATATGAAGGCAAAGCTAAAAACTCCTGATCCCTGATATTTGAGGCTAACAAAATGGTACAGTTGTGGTGAGAGTCAAATAGAGTGAAGCGTTGGATGATGAAAGATGTTGCTTTTAGTATTTGGGGCTTGGAACAGTATTGGAACAGGGGCACTAATGTTAGGATACACATTTAGGCCGAATTTACGTGCTTAATTGATAATTATGGTTGAATTATTTGTTTAGTTTGTATGTTTTAAGCGTGACCAAAGCTTGTTGTTTAAGATTTACTAATTTATTTGTTTTACATCGTAATCATGATTTTAGGCTGTGTTCCTTTTCGCCTAATCTGATTTGATGTGATCTGATTTTTTGAAGTTCTGATATGATCTGATCTGATCTGATTAAATCCAATCTGATTGGGTCTGGTTTGATCTGATTTGGTTGGATCTGATCTGATATAAATTTGATTAAAATTAAAATGAAAACTAAAATTATTATAATAGTTATAATAATAGTAGTAATAATAATATAAATAGTAATAACTATAATAGAAATAATTATAATAGTAATAGTAATAATAATAATAGTAATAAGAATAGTAATAATAAGAATAACTATAATAATACTAATAATAATAATAGAAATATTTATAATAAAAGAAATAATAATAATCATAATAGAAATAATAATATTAATAGTAGTAATAATATTTATAATAACAATATTTAAAATATTACTTATAATTTTAATAATAGAAATATTAATAACTAGAGTCATAATAATAATAATAGTAGGAGTAATAGTAATCTTAATAATAATAATAGTAATAGTTATAATAATAATGTTAATAATAATAATAATAGAAATAATAATAATAGTTATAATAATAGTAATAAGAATAATAATAGTAGTAATAATAAACATAATAATAATAGTAATAATTATAATAATAATAGTAACAATAATAATATTATTAATATTAATAGTCATAATAATAGTAGTAAGAATAATAACAATAGTAATAATAATTATAATTAGAATATTAATAGTAATAATAATACTAATAAAAATGGTAGTAATAGTAATAATAATAATAATAATAATAATAATAATAATAATAATAATAATAATAATAATGATTTTGTTTAGATCTGGTCTGATCTGATATAATTAGATCTGATCTGATCTGATTTTAATAAGAATAAGTAATAAGCAGAAAAAATAAGTTGAATGGAATGTTCCTAAACCTTATAAAGGTTCCATAAATGATAAGGATTGTTGTGTATTAGTTTGAGGAAGTTTAGTCACTAGAAAGACCCCCAGATGTTGCCTCAATTTCTACCCGATCGCAGTGATTGGAAGTAGAAGACAAAGTGCTTATTTGAATAACTTTATTGGTTATTGGACTTACCCATGTGACCCGGCCCAAAACAAATCTGAATCAGCTTAGAAGCCCTTGGGTAGTTGGGTCAGAAAACCAATGGGTTATTCGTATAACCCATTATTTTTTCGAGGATGATCTAATTCAAACTGAATGGTTTGGGTACCACCCAGATCAGCTGGGCCGACCGAGTAAGGTTAAAATTGGGACTATTGGAACTCCAATAAACATGGTTTACACTCCGATTGTTTGGCAACGATCAAAAATAATTTAATTAATAGTATAATTTACCATGTTTCATGGTTGTGACCCGGAATGATTTTCAGAGTTGTGTGTTCCATGGCGGTAATGATCAATACCGTAATACTTCAAACTTGACAATGGGGATGTTTCTCTGTGCTGTTATTTATTGACTTATTGGTTATAAACAATTTTTAACTTTGTAGCTGTTTATAAGTTAAATATTCTTTTGTTAAAGTAAAAAGACTTAAATGATAGATCATTTGAGGATATTCATAAATAGTGAGGAATAATTTTGTAAATAATCGAGTCAAAACAAAGAAAAAACTAGCTTATAAGTAGGGAAGACCTACTTATAAGTCAGCTTATAAACACATAGAAATATGTCATCAGCTGTCTCATAAGTTAAAAACAACTTATAAACTAGTTTTGACCAGCTTATAAGTCGATACCCTATGGTATATTTGTAGAACTCCCATTTGTTTCTTTATCTTCAAATGCCATTACATTCACCAAAAAAAAGTATTGACTATAAAAATATTGTTATAAAATCATGGTCAACCCTTTTGCTCTATCCTATAACACTTGTTGGAGAACCATGTATTATGCTCTCTAAATTAACAATGGGTGATTTAAACCCAGTTTAGGAAATCCAAAGTGAAACTATCTATGATAGGCTCTTAGATAGATTCTCCATGAAAATGTGGAAATGACTAAAGATAGGTAGAGCTTATGTGCATGTTATATTTTCATAACCTAAACCATGTATTAAAATAGAAATACATGTTAATAACAAAAATTCACATGAATAAATCATACAAAATTGCAAATAAATCTGATAAATAATACTCCCTCTGTCTCTGAGTATTTGTACTCGTTTGACTTTTTTTTGGTCAAAATTGGTAAACTTTGATCCCAAATTAAATAAAAATGATATTACATATTGATACAAAATTGTTTTATTAGATTTATTATATAATATATTTTCAAAAAATTATTTTATCTAATTAATATACAATATACGGATTATATTTTATTTAATTATAGGTCAAAGGTTGAAAATAGTTGACTGAAAAAAGTCAAAACTAGACAAATACTCTGAGACGGAGGTAGTTTTGAACACGATTGTAAAACTAGAAAGAAAAACAACAATCACTAATAAATGTAGAATAACAAAGGCTTACAGTGTGTCCACAATTAAATGCCATGTCTTTGCTATTCTCGAGACACACTGGGCAACGCTTCATTATTGACAAAAAAAAATCATTAAAATTTTTGTAAACTATTAAACCAAGCTTTACTTTTAAGAAATACACAGCTCACAGTTTCCAAAGTTAATCTAAAGTAGAATTTTTCAGCCATTGATCAATGATTCCATACCCACTCGGAAAATTCAGAATATAAAGAAGGAAAGAATGATCGAATATAAACACATGCAAGCCCAGTTTAAAACTGCTGACTTAATTTTAGAATGATTGCATGGTGTGCATATAATATGCTTCTATAGATACCTGACTTTGGCTGTCTTCTGCTGGCATTAGAACATTGCTTGCTTCTCCTGCTGGTCGAGGAGTAGAAGAAAGTGGTGGACGTCGTGGGGTTACCTTCTTTGCTTTACCTGTCACTCGCCTTTTGTACAAAGAGAATAGACATGACAATTATACCAGAGGATATAATTCTTGATTCATATGCAAACACACACATGGGTTAAGTAACCTTTAAGGATTCAATGGCTATATTGTTTGGATGAATTGTGGTAAAGCAGACAAATGCATAATTGAAATATCAAGAGTTCGGGGCACACACATTGGCTAGCCAATTGGAAAAGGTTTCAGTCAACACTTTTTGGTACAATTAACAAGATTGGTGTGCTCGTGTGATGCAGATGGAAATTCAATATTAAGTTGGAAAATAAAGGGAGATCTTGGCTTGGATAGTGAAAGAGAGGGAGGGGCACATGTAATTGTATGATGATAAAATAGTATAGACCCACAAGGGAGTGAAAGTGGGATAGGAATAAAAAACATTTCATAGAAACAAAATACAAAAAAAAAACTTTCGCTTGAACCCTCTATGTTCTCTCGAATATGTGCTAAAGATTTTGTCGTAAAAGTTTGAGAAGTAAAAGGACATCAAGTCACGTGAATATATATAATCGTCCCAAAACAAGGTCACAAAACAGATAACGATGGTTCATTAGATTCATTTTCAATTCAATTCATTTAAATAATGGTACAAAATTTTGATATAAAATTTATATATTTAAAAACTAAATCAAGTGCCCTATAGAACAAGAGGTGACATGAGTGTTTATTTACCAAATGATTAACGAATATAAGTATAGAAAAAAAGTGACTCGTGATTAGTACGTGTTTGTAACTGTAGTTTTTGAACAAAGAATAATTAGCAAGCATTTCTACAATTGTGGATCATATTTTTGGAATAGTTCTTGATTCCTCGACCCTTATCACCTAAGATGTTAACTACATTAGAATCGTGTCAATTGTATGTGTAGCCCATGACTATTAACAATATTAATAGTAATTCAATGTAATGAGTAATTCTTATTAGTCACATTAGTTCTTAATATATTCTTACCATGTATGCTCTCTCCATTGCGCGAGCTTGAAGAGCGGTTATGCACCTCTTAGGTTCCCTAACCATTGATGTATTGTATTATTTGTATATATAAATTGTAACCTTAAACCAATAATATACAACTTCTCAGTTATCGTATGTCATCAGAGTTTGATTACTCCTTACTTAGAAATAACCTTTTCTTCCTCTTCTTCGATCGATGATGGCAGTGTCACCAAGTTCCTCCACCTCCAGCCTAACCACGACCCGCGTCACTTCTCTCGTACCATCACCTCCAAAAGTCATTTTCCAATCAATCTCAGGAAACGAAATTTTCTCATTTGATAATGTCTAGTCTAATCCATTCTTGTTGGTCTCAACCTTCTTGATGTTGCACAGATGCCCTTGAATCAGGAATACATCACGTGGCATTGCTCGTGCATTGTTAGGAAACTATTCTGATGATGTTCAATCACTCATTGCCCTAGTGGAAACCTCTGCCAATTCGTGGTCTAGATGCATGTCACATCTTACGAGTATCTCCCACAGATGTGTGAAATCCAAACAAGGGCTTTGGATTCGTTTCGATGTGTGAAATCCAAACCTCCACCAATTCGCTATCTAAAGGCAAAGCTAGCGAAGAACCCCAATGGTACTTGTACTGTTGATAAATTCCTTTCGGATATGTTCAAAATCCAAACTGATCTTGCCCTTGTTAGGAGTCTTATTAATGGTGGGGACGACTTCACTGTTTCTATCCTCATACATCGTACAGAGGATTACCAAACACTCTATCAATATCACACTTGAAGACTTATCAGATATTTTGAAAGATTGCAAACATCAATTGTTGGAACATTCTACTAAGAACATTGTTCTTACAATCTTACGATTAATAATGTTTCACGGTTGTTTACTCGGAGGCGTGGCGACAGTTTAGCAATAGTAGACAGGCGTGCTAGGAGGTCATTCCTATGGAAATAATGGGCCCAACAATGGGTCTGACCATAGCAACTCCTCTGATCTGCTTAAACAGGAGCGTTACTGCAAGTTCTTTGACTATGTCGGCCATGACACAAGCTATTGTCACAAACTTCATCGTTACCTTTGAGAAACCAATTGCTCGTTCTCTGACAACGATTCCTCTGATACTCATCACGTAGCACCGGTTCGGTCAGTAAAAGTGGTTACTTATAGTGGTACCACTCATGATGCGACCTCCGTTCTTTGAACGCAGCAATCATTCATGAAATATGATGGTTTAGATGAAATATGCCTTGGTGATGGAAAGACTGTCTATTTCTCACACTGGCTCATCCATTATTCCCACCTCATCTGCCTCACTTAGTTTGTCAAACAATCTTTTTGTTCCTAAGTTACATACTAATCTCTTATTTGTCTTACAGTACGTTATGCAAAACTTATCTTGTTACAAAAAAAATATCCAAGTACATTTTCCTACATGATGGCAAGAATCCAGTGTAAAGAGATGTGCCACGTATCTCTGTAAGAATCCTGTGTTTCGTACCAAATTGAAACATCTTGTACGTACTTTAAACTACTACGTTTGAGAATGTGTTGCAACAACTAAAGATTGAAATAGCATCAAAATATATTTAGGCTGATGGGAAGAGGTAAAGTAACCAAAGAAGATAAGTGAAGAGGAACATTTTTATTATATACAAAGGACAATGGAAGGCATGTCTGATGTAGTGATGTTAAATAAGGGTAAATAGTAATTCAAGAAATTACCCTAGTAGACCAAGATCTTTGGTAGCTTGGTATTGGATAGGGATCTCCATAAGAGCACCAAGAGCAAACCTAGTTTCTTTCACAGAATCATCACTAAAGGTTGACATGATGTCTGTAAAATTAACAAACTGCAAGATCAAATGCAAAATAAAAATTACGAGGAGAACGCAATATCCCCAACCCCCCCCCCCCCTCTTAAACAAAAATAATGCTCTTATTTATTGACTATTTGTTAAAATGGAATAGTTAAATCACCCTTTGTTCTGTAGAACTTCTAATGTAATTTTTAAATATATAAATTTCTACATAAGTTTGTAAATAAATTAAATTGAAAATAACTTGACTAAACTAAAGCATCCTAACCCGAAAGGAGAACTTTTTTTGGGATGGGAGTGGTATACATTACCTGAAAATTATCAAACTCTCGATCTGGAATTCTATCATCAAAACTTCTCATGTTATCCCAAGGTCCGTCACCAACACCAACCAACACAATAGATAGAGGATACATGCTAGTAACAAAAGCAACAACTAAAATGATTGCTCCTTAGTACTAATTCTGAATTCATTTGTTATTTGCATTTTATCTTTGATATTCTATAGTTCAACTCCCTTATCCAATACCAACCTCTGTCCCAAAATTAAAATCTTACTCTGACTTTACACACACTTGTTAAGGCAAAGTTTAAAACGGCATTTGACTATGAACGCTGGGCATCAACGGGTTCAGTCCGGCGACAGATATAATAATGGGAGGAGGGAAGGAACAAAATCAAAGCAAGCGGATCATAAAGACATAAGTATGTGTGTTTTGTGATACATTGTATTTCATACTAGTATGTTTCTAGGGCATTGTATATGAATCGGTTGAGCTTGATTATGAGCCTTATTCCTTTCTTGAGCATAATTCTCGAGTTCTCTTGTGTTTCTTGGGTCCTTGTGGCCTTTTTTTTCACTCAAATCTCTTGTGCCAAACAAACGCTACTACTTATTAGTTGTGGTTTACGTTACTGGCCGGTTCGTCTAAAAAAAATTAATGTGTACTTGATTTAAACCGGATAATATCATATATATTAATATAGGGTTAAATTGAGCTAGGTTTGGGTGGTTTGGTAGGGGGCGGTACGTACGTATGTACCTTGCATTGACGATGGAAGAAATGGTTCTCTGTTCTTGAGTGCCGAGGCTTGTGTCTTTGGTATCAACACTTCTTGTGACCTGACCATCTGCTATGATTAGAAGAACATGGTATTGCCCTCCACTTTTCTCCACTATGTCTACTGCTCCATCTATCACTGGTCCATAACTTGTTGGTCCTTTTAACACCCCATTTATATTTTATATAAGTAAGTCACAGTACTTCATAATCCCTCAGAGTTATTTACAAAGGAGAATTATATTTATTTGGATAGTAATATATAAAACATACTTTTAGTCTCTCCATTATTTGAATATCATTATGTTTTAATTAGTTTAGTTTCCCCCAATTAGGAATTGAAGAAAAAGAGGATATATATGACATTATGCTTAGGGTTATGATAGTATTATTCCTAACGTGTAATGGTAATTTAGTTTAGTAACGAATCTCAACATTTGCGTACTTAATTTAGACATTAAATCTTTCTACCAGATAATTTCACATTTGGGATGAGCTTCCTGTAGCAAGCCAACACTTCTTCAAAGCCGTGACAAGGCGAATGGTCGGTGTGAAAGCTGAAGACTTGTTCGTCATGTGTGCTCACTGCATGCATGTCACACATTAATCAATTTAAGTGACGGTAGTTTGATTTGATTTCTTTTTTAGTAACCTAATAAGTGTACGGTTAAAATTTGTTTTGGACAAAAGTTTGATACGAGTCGAATAAGAAAGAATAAACAAAGTTATGGATCGAATGGAGTATTTAATTAACTTGATTATTTACCATCACCGAACCCAAAACAGGGAATCAAATTGTCTTCATCAAATGGAGCGAGGGTTTTGCCTATGATAGAGATGGCTTTCTCGTAAGGATTGAGTAGATGAAGATCATCATCTTCTTCAATGGCATGAAGGCTCTTATTGTTGAACGACTCTTTGCCCGTCCATTCGTTACTTTTCGTGAAGTCAATACCAATTATGAGATTTGAAGATTCTAAACCTGATTCCCTCAACGCTTTTGTTACCTGAAATTATTAGCCATGCTAAACTTCAGTGTTCTAAAACTCTCCTACTAACTCCGCCTAACCATTTTTAGAGACTACAAAAAAAGCGTAGTTTGTCACGGGTTTCGTGTCATTGACTGTAGAAAGTTTTTTTTGACAATGTCGGTTGCCAGGGAGATTTTATCCAGGCAACAAACATCATTCCGAACGGAGAAAATCGCCACAAAAATGTCTGTGACAAATTTCGGTGGCTTAGTGTTCAACCAATATCGGTGACAAATTTGTAACGTCTCAATCGGTGACAAGAGTCAGCATTTTTTTGGTTCATTTGATCATATCTAACCTGTTCGAGGGATGTGAAGTTATCGGGGATGTATTCGTACTTTCTCTTTGGCGTCTTCTTCTCTTTACGATTAGCTATGTTAGGAGGGGATGGCCGCCGGAGGAAGCTCAAAACACGGCCCATGGATCTGAGAATATTAATTTGAAGCTGATAATGGTTGAGATTAATTATTTGAAGCTGATTTATGATCATGATGATGTCTTCTCTATTAGGCAAATTAAGCCTCTCCATGTGTATGCCTATAGCTAACTGCATGCCTTGCTTTGCTTGCTAATGTCAAATACGAATACGATTCCATGTTATACTCTCCACACAATATGATGACTAGCTAGCTAGCTTTTATACGCTCCATCCTTCCCAATCGTCTTCTTTCACTATCCACTAATCAAACTTATTCTTCCTTTTGACTTATTTTTGTGTTTTAATCCTTAATAATTCACTTACAATGTGGTATATATATTCATATATATTCTTCTCAATCTATTGAAGCATAGAGAGTAACCATCCCCACTCGGGTTTGAACTTGTTGTGACCTCTCGTTTTTGTCAATCATTTGTTAAAATAACATAGTTATGTCATATCCTATTTTCTAGAGCATTATTTGTTGAAACTATTTGATACTCGTTCCGTCCCAAAAAGATTTACACTTTTCACTATAAAAAGTCACAGAAATTTGTTCATTTGTGCATTTTGATTGATTATTTGATAAAATACCTTGGTTCCCATGACATTGAGAACCAATGTCATAGGATGACCCGGGGACGCTCCGGTGCCCCGTTCGTAAAATTGACGGTTCCTACCCCCCTAACTCTCTCGGTAAACCCCCCCACCCCGCCCCGACCCGAACACACCCCCTCACCCCCTTCAATTGCACCCCACAAGTCGATTTTGACTTTGGAGTCAAAATTTGACGATTTTGACGACTTTGGTTGCTAGATGGTGACGATTTTGATGACGAAAGTTTGGAACGAAGGAAATAAAGAAAGAAAAATAAGAGTGATATGTCTCTTTTTATCCCCAAAATATAGTTTTAGATCATGACAATGTGGCACTGCATATTAACACTTCACTGTATTTTTTAGTATTATATGTTAAAGATTTTGTTTTGATTCTTTTTCTACGTTTGTAAGTCCTTTTTTTTTTGTTGAAAACGAACAAACAAGTAACATTACTTCAAAAAAGTAACAACAAAGTCAGGAGGGATAACATCTCAAAAATCAACAACATACTCAACCCGTCTAGGAAGAGTATATATGAGCAACAAGAGGGAATAAAAGCAATAGAAATGAAAGCAAATCCGCCATGAGAGTCTTGCATTCCTCGACCAACGAATCAAAGTACGATTGATTAGAAGCCCCTCTTCTTCTTTTTTTTTGGAATCTCGATTAAATTCCAACTTCGATCCTGCCTAGGCGGAGAAATAAAACCGGTTTTGAATTTTTGGGGGCTTCACTCATCTTTTATTGGAAATTATTCCTTTTACCAAAAAACATTAACCAAATACGGAGTACTAAAATACAAGTAAAACAGAGGTAAAAATAAAAAATAAGACTTTAATGTTTTTATTTTTAAAATAGTTTCTATAATGTCAATAATGCAAACATATACTCTCTCCGTTCTAAAAAAGGGTTCCTACTTTAAAGTGTAAAAGTATGGAAGTATTAAATTGCAGTTGACTTTCAATTTTACCTTTGATGTGATGACTAACAGTAAGATGTGATCGATAGATTATTTGAGAAAAAGTATTATGTGATAGGTAGAGTATGAAAAAGTTAGAGAAAGTGGTTTTTTAATAGAAAATAGAAGTATTGTGTTAGAATTGGATAAAATGAAAGAAGAAGTGCTTTTGAGAGAGGTAATATAATCCTTTATATATTAAAAAGGAGAGTTGAGCTTCCAGAATTATGACATTTGGCACGCTCACTAGACAATTTTTTAACACCTCCTCATCCATGTCAGCAAGAGCATTGAATGGAAGTTTCTTTATTAAAGCTCTTAATATACATAATTAATTTATTATTTTAGAAATAAAATTATATATTAAATTTTAAATGAGGAAAACTTTGACAAAAATGAATATATTTGTATGATTTTTTGTAACTCATTAAATTATTCATACATATTTTTATAAATTATAAAATGATGGGAAATTTCATGTGGAGTTTCATATAAATATTTTCACTAACATGGAAAATATTTAAAGGAATAAGGAAAAGGACATATGCAGTTACAAATATTTTAATTAATATTGAAAATATTCGAAAAGATAAATTTATCTTTATGTAAATTAGTAAAATTACCCACCACTTTCCATTTCTACTTTTTTCAAAATAAGGATTTATATAATGATTAGTACATATGCTTCATAAGTAACCTGATGCTTCTATTTTTGAAAAACTATCATTTATAAACAACAACGATTAAAATTTTGTCCCTAAGTGATGTTAAATAATAGTAATAATAATGATGATGACAATGGTATTTTAATGATGATTAAAATTTAAAAATTTTATAGTGGATTAAAATATACATAAGAAAGGCATTATGGACCAAAACTTTTATTCTAATATACATAAGAAAGACATTATGGACCAAAGGTTTTATTCTAAAAAGTTATGTATAAAAAAATAAAAAATATGTTTATAACGCATGCCAAAAAAAGTACAAAAAACATTTATACTTTTTCATGAGATAAATATTAGTATAATTTTATGTTAGATATTACATATAGAGATAGAGATGGATTATCATTGACTATAGCCACGCATTATCAAACCCATTTAAAAAGTAATATATATGCTATGTGATGTGACACATGGTATTTGTATTTCGAATTAAATATTTTATATTTCCAGTACATTTTTTATAAAAAGTTATCGGTGCTTCAAGGAGATAACAATTTTACACTAAATTCATCAAGTTTTTGTGTGCATAATAGACAAAACATAATTGACTCGTAGGTGCTACCATCAATTCATCAAAATTGTGGTCCTATTGTAAAGTTTATACGTTAACGAAGAGTAAGATTGCATTCGTCAATGCCCTCTTGCACGGATAGGGAAACAAAAGCTTTTTCTGATGGGATACTCAAACTTGGAGATGAAAAGCTTGGAAAAGTGATTGATGGAACAAGTGACGTTGATATTCTACCCGAATTCTTGATTCTAGACAGAAGTTATTATCTCAAGAATAACTTATGAAAATAAAACCAAATGTTTGGGGATCCTAAACCATAAAATAGTTTTAAAGCGGAGGGGGGGTGGGAGGAAGAATGTTATCAGTGTTATTGTTAGTTTTGTGAAATCAAGTCGGGGAAAATGTTTATATATCTCATATGAATTTGGAACCTTCCGGTCTAGGACTACCCTGGAGTTCCAAAGAAGACAATTCCGAATGGTTTTATGTTTTGCAATGACATTGAACAAAAATCAAGGTCGAATATTGTCATTTATTGGATTATTTTAACTAAGTCAGTGTTCACTCATGGTCAGTTTTATGTTTCTATTTCATAAGTGAATACAGAGACACGATTAAAAATATTTTTTCTAGATGAAAATGAAAACTCTTACAACTATACCAAAAATATTTTACACAATGAGGTTTTTTTAGAAAATTTAGTATTATTAGTAAAAAAGTATGATGTGATAGGTAGGGTATGAAAAAGTAAGGGGTAAAAGAGGTTTTTTAAGGAAAAGAGAAGTTTATTTGGAGACAAAGAAAAAACGAAAAGGGAAGTTTATTTAGGGACGGAGGGAGTATTTAATTAATCTTTTTATTTGTTTTTGTTAATTTTGAATTTATTATTACTTTTATTTTATTTATTATTATTTATAGATTTTTATTAATAAATACATATTTGCATTATATAAGTTTTGATTTTATTAATTATTTTATAAGTTTTGAATTAAAAATGATAAATATTGTAAAAAAATTCAAAGTGTTGAAAAAATATGGTGAGCTCTGCCTTACAGTTTGGTGAGCTTTGTAGTTGTTTTTGGTGAGCTTTGCAGTGGCTAGTGGTGAGCTTTATGTCATCTGACCGAACCATGTCATCTCACCACAAGATGTTATCTCACTGGAGTCAATCCCTATCAAAATATAATTAACATTAAACCTACTCCATGTCTCCATTCCATAATCTATTCCTTAAAGCCACGTTAATCAGATCGAATAGGGAAAGGGGATTTGTTAAAAAAAAGTGTAAGACAACATTAATTTCTCCTTAGGCTAACAAATACGGAGTAGCACTCTCCAATACTCTCTTTGTCTTTGTCTCAAAATGTATGACATTCTTACTATTTGGTCTATCGATAACTTTTATTCATTTGTATATTTTCATTGATCATTTGATAAAATAAATTATTCTTGTCACCCATTGTTTTGTGAATTTTTTGTGTACTTTTGAATCATGTAATTCATATTTTTACTTCTATACCAATTTATAATTAAAATGATTTTAAAAGTGGCGCGGTTTTGCTCGTTGTTCAAAGAGTTGCATCCATTGTGGGATGGAGAGAGCATATTTGGAAGATATAATCGTAAACTATATTTTTTATCCGCAAACTAGAAGTTCTATACTTTATTTGTGAAATAGAAGTTTGCGCTGTGACATTGTGGTATTGTATATTTGCATCTTACAATGTTTTTTAATTTGGTAATGTAAATATTATTGACATTGTAACTCCCATTTTAGGGATAAAAAACATGAAACACATATTTCGATATTTTTTTCTTGTTTTACTGAATACTTTAGTAATGTAAGTTAATATTGTAACTCTTATTTTGGCGTACGTTATAGGTCTTATAACGCACGCCAACACAAATAATGGGTTCCTCAAAATTGTTGGCAATGATGTTGAAAAACAAACTAAAGGGAATTTATTCACACAAATTTTTGCAAATTTAGCATCAAAAACTTGTTTTCTTTGCCCAGACTCTTAGCCCATTGCCCCTTAGCTTCTTCATTGATTACATTGACTTTCTGCTTAGATTCTCAAATGACATGCATTCTATCAAAATGTTCAAAAGACATGTTTACTTGTCTAAAATTCCATATCTCCCCATCCTTTACACTCTGTTTGGTTCAAAGAATTTGGAAAGAAAATAAAAGAAAATGATTTTTTTCTCAATTTCATCACAAAAATGATTTTGGTTTTTTCTCTTCTTAGTATATTTTGCCTTTTCATTTACTCTTTGTTCTACCTTTCTTTTCTAACCAAACAAGAAAACTTATTTTCCACTTCATCAGCCACTAACCCCAAACTTCTAACCCTCATTTTTGATACTCTCATTCTTGTAAGCCATTTGTACATCAATTCTTCCGTGTTTTAGAAGAGTTGATAATGTCCGAGGTCCTACAATTCTCTTAGTAGCTAGCTATCATATACTCCCTCCGTCCCAAAAAGATTAGTACATATTGACTTTTTAGGAAATTAAGGGAGAGATATTTTGGTGTTGACTTTCCAAAAATACCCTTGATGTGATGGGTAAAAGTAGGATGTGATGAGTAGATTATTAGGAAAAAGGTATGATGTGATAGGTAGGGTATGAAAAAGTAAGAGGTAAAAGTGGTTTTTTAACAGAAACGTTACGGAATTAATGGAACACAATTTTTTCGAAACGTGTCGGACTTTTTGGGACGGAGGGAGTACATAGTATTTGTACAATCTAATAATCTCAACCTCCTAAATGCCGGTTCAAGCACTAAATGTGGAAAAGCTTGAGGTTGGTATCTTTGCATTACCTCAACATGCTTCCACAAGCTTCATCTCAGGATTACACAATAAAAGAATTTTTTCTAAGCATAGTTCCAACGGCTATTTAAAAAATGAGGAATTTATTTAAATATCACTAAAACATAATAATCTTCTCTAAATAGCATCACATGTATTTTTTTCCCAATGTAGCACTTTTAGTCATTAGTCATTATTCAAGTAAATGTTCGTCATCACTAGATATTATGGACATTATTAAGTGTTATTTAGGGAATAAAACATTTTAAGTGCTATATATGAAAATGACTTAAGTGTTAGTGCTATTTAATGCAAATATTTCTTTAAAAAAGAATTTGCCTTATTTCAGGGCGCGTAACAGATTAAAACTTTTCTGGCAAAAATCAGCCTGTAGCGTCTCGGGAGCGGTGTATCGACCCGAAGCAATTCGATTAATAAGTAATGATCTGGTTTCAATTAGAATAAGTAAAATATAAGTTGAAGACCAGAAGCTCATAATTGGGCTTCAAATATGCATATTATTTATTTCATCCGGATTGAAAAAAGAAAATAAAACAAAGAAGTTAGATTTTTAAGCAGGGAACGAAGCCAAGTCATAAATACGACTTGCTCCTTAACTCTTTCCCTACTATTTCTCCTGAGTAAAAAACAACTTATCTCAATGATATTATCCAAAACATATCTCAATCGTAACCAAAACACAGTCCTCAAGTAGTATTTATATATACTCCCTATTTTGGCATTTCTACTTGAGACCAGCTCTCTATACTAGCTCCCACTACGAAAGAGACTATACATACATCTATCTATCCGAGATCAACTTAATTAGCTTTCCCCTAGCCATGGCCGCTTTGGTCCCAATCCTACAACTCCTTTCCATATCATTCTCCCTCTTTTCAGCGAGTCAAGCCTCCGGAGGGAATGACACGAACGACGCCACGTTCAACAGAACCCGCCGTGTGTGCCATCCCTGGAGGTTCGAAAAGCTCGGGTTGAACATCAAAGACTTTGGGTTCTGCGACGTGTCGCTGGGGTACGATGTCAGGGTCAAAGATCTGGTGGACCGAATGACGCTCGCTGAGAAAGTGCAGCAGCTTGGTGACAATGCCCGCGGCGTTGCTAGGATCGGGCTTCCCAGCTACGAGTGGTGGTCCGAGGCTTTACATGGCGTCTCCGACGTGGGGAACACCGACAGAAAGGGTTCTTATTTTGATGAGGATGTGCCTGGTGCCACTAGCTTTGCCATGGTCATCACAACTGCAGCTTCTTTTAATCAATCCTTGTGGAAAGCCATTGGCCAGGTGTGTGTGTGTCTATATATATATATATATATATATATATATATATATATATATATATATATATATATATATATAATGCTCCATTAAGAGAAGAGAGAACATATTGAGGGACTGTTTGGTAATTTCTGAATGGGTAAGTGCTGAACCAGTAAGAGGTCTGAACCATTAAGAGCTAGTATATTGTTTAACTATTCAGAGGCAAATGTCTGATCAATTCAGATAAGAGCTCTTAACCATTCAGACTCTGTATAATACTTAACCATTCAGAGGCAAATCTCTTAACCATTCAGACATCTGAACCATTAAGAGGCTGAAACAAACAGTCTGAACCATTAAGTGCTGAATCATTCAGACATCTGAACCATTAAGAGGCTAAAACAAACAGCCCCTGAGTATATATAGCATAATTATAATAATCTCTCCGTTTTCAAAAATACTTCATCTTTAATTTTTTCCCTATTAATTTAATTTGATTTGTATTATTCCTTTTTTTTAGGTTATATCAACTGAAGCAAGAGCAATGCACAACTTAGGGCACGCTGGGCTAACGTTTTGGAGCCCAAATATAAATGTGGCAAGGGATCCAAGATGGGGCAGAATCTTAGAGACTCCTGGAGAGGACCCATATGTTGTAGGGACATATGCCTCTAATTTTGTCAGAGGACTACAAGATGTGGAAGGCACCGAGAATTTCTGGGATTTGAACTCGAGACCTCTTAAAGTTGCCGCTTGTTGCAAGCACTACGCGGCGTATGACGTCGACAATTGGCTCGGCGTTGACCGCTTACATTTTGATGCAAGGGTATATGTGTCATTTACTCCATTCAGTCCCAAAATAAACTACACAATTCAATCCCCACTAATTAAATGTGATCTATATTTATATTCTACTAGGTGACAGAGCAAGATATGCTGGAAACATTTCTTAAGCCATTTGAAATGTGTGTAAAAGATGGTGACGTGAGCAGTGTGATGTGTTCATACAATAGGGTCAACGGAATCCCTACTTGTGCTGATCCCAAGCTTTTGAAAGGAACAATCCGAGGAGAATGGGATCTTCATGGGTATAATTAATAATAAAATATTGTTGGTTCTATAATTTAATTATTTTGTTTATTTTAAATAATTTCTTGAATTAAAAATATTATAGTGAAATTTGCACTAAATAGGACTAAAACATAATGACTTTCCTAATGTAGAATTTAAACTTTGTTATTTCCTAAATAAGACGTAATAATCACCTAGTGTGAAGAATAATGTCTAGTAATGATGGGCATTTACTTGAATAATGACTACTTGATAATGACCAAAGGTCCTACATTGGAAAATAAAAACATATGGTCCTATATTGAAAAAGTCATTATGTTTTAGTCCTATTTAGGTAAATTTCTCAATAATATATACATTGTCGTCCAGATATATAGTTTCAGACTGTGACTCTATTGAAGTAATGGTGGACAATCACAAGTGGCTTGGCGATGAGCCAGAAGATGCTGTTTCACAAACTCTCAAAGCAGGCAAGTTAATGAATTTATTCAGAAAAAATATTCTTTGTTGTTTTTATTTTTTTCAATGAGTATATAAAAAGTAAACACAAGACAAAATGATTGAAAATGTATTTATAGGTCTTGATTTGGACTGTGGAGATTTCTACACCAAACATGCAAGGAATGCAGTTGAGGGGGGGAAGGTGAGGGAAGCCGAAATAGATAAATCCCTTAAGTACCTCTACACAGTGATGATGAGGTTAGGGTTCTTCGACGGCAGCCATAACTTCGAAAATCTTGGAAGTCGCGACATTTGCTCTAAAGAACACGTGGAGCTGGCAACCAGGACGGCCAGAGAAGGAATTGTTCTCCTCAAGAATGACAATCAAACATTGCCTTTGAATTCTCACGACATTAGAATCCTAGCTCTTGTTGGCCCTCATGCTAATGCCACAAAAGCCATGATTGGCAATTACGAAGGTACATTCACTCCTGAATAACATTTTTGTCGGGTATTCTCTGTGTTTACAAACTAGTCAATACTGCTTGCAAGCTGTTTTTAACTTATAAGACAGCTTGGCTTGTTTCTCTATGCATATAGGCTGACTCTTAAGCTGTTTATAAGCCATAAAAAATGAGTGAGTCCCACCTACATAGGTCCTCTTCTTTTGAGTTAGAAAAATTAACTTTCAATTTTCAAATGCTTCTTTTTTTCTTCCAACATTCGACTCTGAAATTCAAACAAAAAGAACAGGGCCTTGTTTTTAAGTTTGGTTTTTTGTTTCTCCGTTTTTATGATATTATTTTCAAAATTATTTCTTATCATTTATGAATATTCTCAAATGACTTATTTATTTAAATCATTTTATTTTTATAAAACTTGTTTGACTACCTTATAAACAATTTTTAAGATAAAAACTATTTATCAATAATAAGTTAATAAACACTAATACAGAGAAACACGTTTATAATTCCAGCAACACAATTTTCACTTTGCTAACAAATTAAGTAGCGTCATAGCCCGAGATATAATGGGCCAAAAAATGTCGATCCATTAATAATGTGACACACTAATAAAATGGTGAGAATTAAGAAGTAACATTTGTGATTACAATATATATTGTCAAATTATAGGTGTTCCATGTAAGTACACATCACCCATTTCCGGGTTCTCAAAGTACACTAAAGTGGTGTACGAGATGGGGTGCGGAGACGTCCAATGCAAGAACGAGAGTTTGATATTCCCGGCGGTAGCGGCGGCAAAGAAGGCAGACGCCGCCGTGGTTGTAGTGGGAATAGACTTGGGCGTGGAAGCGGAGAGCAAAGACCGGGTGGATCTTCTCCTCCCAGGCTACCAAACTCAGCTCGTTAACCAAGTCGCCGCCGTCGCCAAGGCCCCCATCACCCTCGTCATAATGTCCGCCGGCGGCATCGACATTTCTTTCGCCAAAAATAATTCCAATGTCGGCGCCATTCTCTGGGCTGGGTATCCCGGCGAAGAAGGTGGCCGCGCCATCGCCGATGTTGTCTTTGGACATTATAACCCTGGTAATAATTAATTTTTTTCATCAAGGGTATTTTTGTAGAACAAAATCTTGATCATAATAACTTATTTTTGTTCCTACTATTTTGTGTATGCTTGTAAAGGAGGGAGGCTACCATTAACATGGCACGAAGCAAGCTACGTGGATGCATTGCCAATGACATCAATGCCACTAAGGCCAATACACCACTTGGGCTACCCGGGAAGAACATACAAGTTCTTCAACGGCTCCACCGTGTACCCCTTCGGCCACGGCCTGAGCTACACCACCTTCAACCACCGCCTCCTCGCCGCCGACCGGAAACTCGCCGTCAAGCTCAACAGGTTCCAGCACTGCCGCCACCTCAACTACACCTCCGGTTCGCGCCCGCCGCCGTGCCCCGCCGTGTCGATCGACGACCTGGACTGCGACGGTGGCGGCGTCGCGAAGGTCGGGTTCGAGGTCCGGGTGGAGAACGGAGGGGAGAGGGACGGGAGCGAGGTGGTGATGGTGTACGCGGTGCCGCCGGCGGAGGTGGCGGGGGCGCCGCTGAAGCGGCTGGTTGGTTTCGAGAAGGTGTTTGTGGAGGCGGGGAGGAGCGGGCGTGTGAAGTTTGAGGTGGACGCTTGCAAGAGCTTTGGGTTGGTTGATCATAAGGGTTATCATCTCTTGGCTTCGGGTGAGCACAAAATCGTGATTGGTCACGGTCCGCTTTCTTTCCCGGTCCGGGTTGAGTTTTTTTAGACTTTGTTTGAAGTCAATTAGATTTGACAAATAACTCCTACCAGTACGTTTTTTTTTGTATGATTAGAGTGACTATAGTAGTCTAGTAGTCCGTAGTAGTTTTGTTACATTTATTTACTCGGAATTGGTAGTGTCAAGTTTCAGCGCGCAGCTTTTAATAAAAGCAAATTATATCCTACAACCCGCAAATTAATGTTACACTTATTTTTTTTAATCATTAAAGTTAAAATTGGATAAATACTTAGAGGGGACGGAAAATAGTATATTTATACTTGGGTAGAAGAGAGAGGTTGTAATTCTGAATAATAGGGATTACGAATTCCGGATTCTTATTGTGCCTCCAACTATTATGTATAAATAAAACTTCCTGGTAAGTGGGATATTCGAATTCGGTTTCCCTAAAATTCCTGTTGAATTGATTTCCGTCAAATGAATTTCGTATGGATCAAATACTAATTAAACTATTAATTAACTGTTGAATCTTTGTTAAACCAAATTAATGTGTTCTCATCCAAAAATTAATTATAGAGAAAAAATACTCGTCCAATATGTAATAATCCCTCCATCTCATAATTATCTTCTTTCTTTCATATATGGGTAGTACCAAAATTAAATTGCCCCAAATTGGCAATTCAGGTTGGGGCCCGTGAGCAAGAGCAGGGGGTGAGTGGGGGCAAGAAAAATATGTGAGAAATGTTTAGGGGTGGTTAGCAGGGGTATGAACAATTAATTTTACAATCGGATCACCGTAGATATTTCAAATGCGATGGTATAACAAATGGTGTCACCACGTGATGGTTTAACTCTACAACCCCTCATATCTTATTATGTAAATATATATTCCCTCCGTCCCACAAAATAATTCCCATTTTGAATGGTATTTAGTCAAATATTTACACGCTTTGACTACAAATTGTGAGAAATGTATATTGAATTATAAAATAGATCTAATATAATTAGATTCATCTTGGAATCTAGTTTTGATATCTCAAAATTTTTTAGCATTTTTTATTTAGATTATATTTAATTTATGGTCAAAATAGAAATTTTTTTGTGGGACGGAGGGAGTATGTTTTAATTATACATTAATATTTAAATTTGATTTGAAAAGAACTTTCAGACATCATGAAAAAATAAAACAGGATGGAGGAATTAATTGAAAATACTTCGTACTTCCTACTGTCTCAGTGTATTCGTTTATTTTGACTTTTCTTATTCAAATTGGACGAAATTTTTATACCTTGGTTACTCTCATTTTATATATGCATATTAATACATTTAATTTAAAATTTTAAAGTTATTAAGAACATGAATCTATTTAAATCATATATACAATAATTTATATTAAGATCTTTATTTATTTGGAATCAATTTGAATAATTAGAATCGAAAAAATTAAATTATACAAATATACTAATATAGTGAGATCAACTAGACATTGACATTCCTATAGGGAGTATTACATTATACTCCGTGGGTCCAAACAAATTCAATCCACAACCAGGATAACAAAAGAGAACATACACAAAATCAACCATTGTTTCGAGCTGCGTCGGCGGCGGCGGAGATCTGTATGCGGAAGCGACAAAGCGGGCAGGACATACTCTGCACAAACCACTCCAAAATGCAACCCTCGTGGAAGCGGTGCGGGCAACCGGCCAACCCCACCACCACCGTACCATCACACAAATCCCCCAAACAAACTCCGCACGCCACGGCCTCCTCGCCGCCGCCGCCGCCGCCGCACTCTTCCGCCGTCACCATCTCGATAGCCTTCTCCACCCGCACCTTCTTCCCCACCTCCATTACCCTCACCTCAGTCAGTGCTTTCCTCACCTCCTCCGGAGAATTCACGTACTTGGTGATCTTCAAATAGTTCACACCGCAGCCGCGGATTTCCGCCGCCGTCACTCGCCGGAGAAACCCGTGGACGAGGGCGGCCATGCTGTCCCAGTCATCAACGGGTGTTTCGTGCCAGAAAAGTTCGACCCCTCTGAGGCTGTAAGGCAAGCTCACGTGCTCGACCAACCAGTTGACGATTTCGACCCCGCGGAGGTTGTGAGTCACGTTCAAGTGGTCGACGGACCAGTCGGCGGCGGAGTCAACGGAGGATTCGCCGCCGCCGCGGCTCAGCCAAAACTCCTTGGACGCTTTGTATCCTACGACGTCGGGGGCAATTAGTAATCCACGATCGTTGGGTAAGGGGTGGACGAGGCGAACGGAGACTGTGACGGGGTAACGGTGTCGTTGGGGCGCCGGGGTACGGTTCTCCACCGCCGGCGGCGGAGGGAAGTTTATGTGAGTTCCTTCGACAGTTACGTAGCTGGACCAGTCAAAGTCCGCCGTGGGGTTTTGGGAGGGGGGAGCCGTGTCTGCAACTGTTTCTTGCATGCTTTGGTATTTGTGTTATGATATTTGATGGGTTATTGTTGTTTATTTATAGGTTTAATTGCATTCCTAATCCATGCAGGAATGGATTAAATAAACTACAGGGTTTGTTGAGCCGTTTAACATTTCTAATTGTATTTTGAGTTTCTTTGTTATTGAGGTGACATTCATATCAATCCATTGAGTGACATTTGTACTTTTATAGTATTCTACTTCGAGTACATATCATTTTTATGGATTTTCTCATATAAATTTGTTTTTTTAAATTTTTTATTAAAAATATATGCTTATTTAGATAGTAAGCTTACTTATTTTACTTATATGTTGGTACCTGGTAGACCTTAGGCCTACCATAGAATTTGCGGTACTTTTAATGCCACACATTATTACTTATGCTTAACTATTACTCTCTCCGTCCCGGCATATTTGTCTATTTTTAACTTTTTTCAGTCAAATTTAGTAAAATTTGATTTTAAATTAAATAAAAATGATATTAGATATTGATACAAAAATAGTTTTATTAGATTTATTATACTCCGTATCAAATATTTTTAAAATATTATTTTATCTAATTAATATACAATATATGTTTAATTTAATTATAGGTCAAACGTTAAAAATAGTTGATCGGAACTAGTCAAAATTAGACAAATACTCATAGACGGAGGTAGTAACTTTTAATTTTTAGAAACTACAAATAACTGATTAAGCCTAAATCAGTAAATCTCAATCCAAGTTTACGTCAACATAACTTAATTACTAGGGAAAATTACTTGTATAACACTAAAACAATGCCCCTTTCTTTTCCTAGCACTAGTGTTAGGAAGTCAAATGTTTTAATGGCGCAGGGGTATTGATAAGACTAAAATGACCTTCATTTTTTTCGTAGATCTAAAAAACCGCTCAGCCGCTTTCCATTCAAGACGTTCGGATCCCTAAAATCACGGCATTTCCTTCGAAGGTCTCTTCTTGTAGAAGGTAATTCGCCTTGAATTTTGGGAGGAAAATAGGATGCGGCTGTCAATTGCGTGTTTAAACCCTAAATTTAGAAAATGCAGTGGGAGAGAATTGAGAAACAGAGACAAAAACGCCGGAGAGGTTGCGGCGACGAAGACAGTGAGAAGTGATAGTGAGTCGCCGATTGTGATGTCGGCGAGGAAGACGACGACGGCTGCTGGAGTTGGTATTGACGACAACACCGAGATTGTTGGCGAAGAGGGCAGTGAAATTACTGTGAAATGCGTTTCTGGGAAGGTTAGTTTATTCTGTCTATGACATTTTTTTGGACATTATTCATAAAGATGAAGTTTTTGTTAGTGTTTGAGAAGGAAAATAATGTATTGTAGTGGTGTAGTGTGTTGCATGTTTTGGGTTTTTTTTTCCTGAATGATAGATAGTAGGCAGTGTAGAGGATTTTGGGATTATGAGGGTGTTGTCCTTCGAATGTGCATATTATTAAAGATCAAACATGATTGAGTGTTTTTGATGGAATTAAAATCAATTTCATGAGAAAGTAAGTGTAGTGTTTCATTAGGGTTAGTATACTGTTTCTTAATGGTGTTCCATAATGGTCACTGGACTGTGCTATGTCAATGTTAGTTGGTCAATGTGTTTTGTTATTGTTCAGTGTATTATGTATACGGTTAGTATGAAGACTAAGGTTAATTTGGAGTCAGAGTTTAAAAACAGTCCAGTGTTCTTGGTTTTAGAGGACAGTGGTGTTTTTATGTGCATGGTATTAAAAGCAAGGGATCATAATGGGGTTTTTGAAAGGGTTAATATCCAATAGACTACCAAGTAAGTGTAATGTTTCTTAGGGCAAGTGTAGTGTGAAAATGAGTTTCTTTTGTTCTGTTCCGTATAGTGTTTGATCTATGTCACTGTAAAATGCTATCTCCATGTTGGTTGTAATAACAATTGGGTTTTAATGACCAGAGTAAACCAGTGCAGTGTGTTGAATATATTGTCAGTGTTTATTACTTCCAAATATGCTGTCAGCAGGGCAGTGTTTTGGGTATTAGGGAGGCAGTGTTAATTGAATGTGCAACGTATTATAGACTGTGCTAACTGCTCTAAAGGAATGAACTTTGGTTAAGTGTGTTTTGTGTATTCGTAGAAGATTATGTCTGTTTTTTAAGTGTGTTGTGACATGGGAGATTATGTATATTTTTTTTAGGAATACCGAAGGATGTGCAGAGAAGACATCTTGGCTTCCAAGACAAACGTCAAATCTAATTGTTATTGCAATGTGTTGAGTGGGGTCGAGAAGCTACGACGAACATTGTCAGAATCGGAGTTGGAGGCTTTGGGCAAGACGCCCTTTGGTCATTTGCTGGATGTTGGCAATCTTAAATGGGTTAATGGACAGCTCCTAATACTTTTAGCGTTGAACTACGTTGAACCTATAGAGCCAGATAGCGATGCAATATCTTTCCACATCCGTGATAGGGTGGTCAGTTTTAAGAAAACTGATTTTGCTCTGATTACGGGTTTCAAATTTGGATGTCCAGCTGAACAAGAGAGGGAGTACACTGGCACTTCAGACATCAGTAGCAGATATTTTGGGGGTAGAAGTGTTGTGACACATGATAAAGTGCGGGTGGTCTTAGAGGGTCTAAAGGACAACAAGAGAAAAAGAGGGATGGATGGCGTAAAGATAGGAGTCCTTTACCTTCTGGGCAGTCACATAGTTGGAAACCAACCCTCCATGAAACTGCCACCACTTTATTTGCATTTGGTAGATGACTTGTCCCGTTTGAACGCGTATCCCTGGGGCGATGAGATTTGGGATCTTTTGGTTGAGGACATGGCAAAGTGTTCATTGACTTTGAGGAAAAGTAAAAAGGACCGGTTCACATTCCCGGGATTTTTAATGGCTTTGCAGATTTGGGCATTTGAGACATTCCCAGGTCTGGAGAAAAGGGAAGTGTGCGAGATGATAGAGAGTCGGAGAGGCAAATGGCCGCGTGCTTTACGATGGGCAGCACCAACACTGACAAATCACATAGTGTTGGAGGAAGTGATCTTCAGTAATGATAAGGTATGTGCTCGTTTTTCGTTGTTTGACTCCTTTTTTTGTGTTTTAAAGGTATTCTAGAATAGTACTTGGACAGTAATCATTTTTTGAGCTTTTTTTACAGTTTGAATGGATTGGCATGAAGGCAACTGCCTTGGAGATTGGGAAATAGAATGTTAAGTGTCTCTTTTTAAATACCCCAATGATTGAAGGAGATGGAAGCCTTAAAGTACTGCAAGTGTGTGATCAAGGAGCCAATGCCAGGAGTCTTGAAGGCCCGCCCAGTAATGAGCATGGTGGACAAGAAGAGGGGGGGATCCTTGCGGAAGTAAAGAATACATTTCATTGGGGGGTTGCTTGTGATAATGGAGGAGAAGCCCGAAGTACTAAGCATGTTGGTAAGAAGCGTAAACCCAACATAAGGAACCTGAGTCAAGGCAAAAAAGGGAAAAAGAGGACATGTGGCAAGAAAGGTGATGACAAGGCAAGGAAAGGGGTTAATGAAGAGTTGTTGGAAAAAGTCACAAAACTGGAGGAGATGGTTACTGGTCTAGTGGCAGCAAATGTGTTGGATCGCAAATTGCTTGTGAGCTTGCGTGGGAAAGTGAAGGGAATGCAAAGAGCACATAAGAGGCATGCAGTTCTGATGGAGAAATGCTTGAAGAAGTGTGGTTTAATACGTAGGAGGAAGAAAGGAATTAAAAAGAACAGACAACATGTTGAAGATGGTCCTAGCTTTGACCTAGGCATTGAGCATGGAGGTAATGAGGATTCAGCAGCTGATCAAGAAGAAGGTAGTGAGGACAATGTAAATTTAGGTGCATCTGATTATGAGATAGAAAACCCTACCCAATTTAATGACTTGGATGACACGATTAATTCTGTTGATACACAAATTCTTTTGGAACGTTGCGCTGTCATGGTACGCAATATTGTGCGTGACAATGGGGGGATGTTGGACATTATAGCGCGGAAGAGACTGTAAGGGTAAGTTGCACTGATTTCGATCATATGTATTTCATTAACTTATGTGAATGGGAATATATGTATAACATTGATCTTTGTATGTGAAAAGAATGTCATTCATTTTTTTGTACACATTTTTTAAATATCCAGGTGGAGAATCATGTGGAGAAGATTGCTAGTGAGGACATGAGATCTGGGGATTCCAATGTGCCTATCGCTATCCTAGCTGAAAAGGAGGGGGTTAGTATATGCTCAACTACCTTATAATAACATGTGGTCAGTGTGTAAACAAGACCCATGTAACATGTGGGCAGTGTGTGTGTTAACATCCTCCATTGTGACTAATAACAGGCCCCATGAAACATATGGATAGTGTGTGTGTTAATGGACATAGGACATTGCGTATACATGGGCAAAGTGAAGGGCAGTGTGTATATTAATATAGAATTGGAGATTAATCACAGTCCCCCTGAAGGGTATGGACAATGTGTGGGATATGTGTTATGGACAGTGTGTGGGTATGCCAAACTTTAGGGACAGTTAGTCAATCACATAATTGGTTACGGTTTAAGCAGTGACCTTAGGTAAAATAGATAGGGGACAGTATAGCCAGATATAATTTTATGAAAATTAAAGTATGTTAGACGGTTCTTTAAGGAAATGCATTTACGCACTTATTTTTTGAGTCATTGGTGTGGAGTGAGATATGAATGAGGAATTCTCTAATACACGTGGCCTGTATGCGTACAATATGTTAAAACCGTTAAAACACTGTGGGTGGTGATGGAGGGTTGAGCTTTTTTCATGTGCGTGGATTACATTAAGTGACATGCTCTTACTCTTTGATGGCAGATTCAGGTTCTTGATAATGGCGGCAGTCTACAAGGTAATGCCGTGGGGATGAGTGTGGGAAGGAACGGAGTCACACCAACACAGCTGAGTGAGGTAATTTTTTAAATGACATTAGCTTTGAGGAATATGATGTGAAATTTAAATTCAATTTAAATGCTGCCCTCTAAAAAGTTCACACTCTTGTTATAGTTATTTGAAGGGGTGGATTTTGATGATTGGCCAATGGGTGATCAGCAAGTCGCGCAAGCCGATACGGTAGTCGATGATAGTCAGACAGAAAAAGCGAATGAAGAATCGATCCATTGCACACAAGTTGTTGTGAGTAGCAATGCGCTTTAATTACTGTTTTCATGTGTTGTAAATATCCTATCAGATAGTAATGTGTACATATTTCTTAAATGATGTGGAAGGAACACAACCCCAGAGGGCATGGTGATGCATATGACCGACCAAAACGGAAATTGAAATCTCCTGAGAGGTTCACTTTTTCAGATAAAAAAGCTGGTGACCAACGCAAGCGAGCAAAAAGAAGGGCCGATGTTATTGAGAGTAAGTCAGTATGTGATGAACTGTGCCTCGGTCCTTTCACCAAGCAGCCGATGGAACTTCCTGAGGTAGGGGTTTTAGAGAGGGTTGACACCTTCATGCATAAGGGTCTGCTGAAAAAGCCAAAGAACCCTGGACGGAGATACACTGCTACAGATGAAAAGCTCAGTGCAGATGCTATAATGGCGCTTGATGATGAGGAGGAAAGCTTGAGCAAAACATGGTATTACAACCTCTATTTCCCTGATGGGTGCCTATCATACCTGGTATGTCAAATCAAGTAACGTTCGCTTGTACTGTGTAAAACTATATCAATTTGTTTTATAGTGGTGAATATAGTTTGAAACGGGGGGGTTTAAATGGTCAGTATAGGGTGTAATGCCTCGTGTTTTTAAGGGTGATTATAGTGTTTTTTAAGGGTGATTATAGTGCATTATTTTCATGGTGTTTAAAAACAAGGTTCAGAGAATCTGTGGGCAGTGAACATGATAAAGTTGTTGGACAGTGTTATTTGTGGTTTTAAATAATGAGTACTAATTGGTGTGTACATGTGTCTATTCGAACACTGATTTATTGTTCTTGTTTGCTTATGTTTTCTTTCTCTAACCTTGTATGGTACCTTGAGTTTATGGTATCTAATGATTTGTAGTAAAATTCTTTTTACTGATGGCAGCATATGAGTGTGGCATTTTATTTTCTGTGGAAGAAAGCCGCCGACTTTGGTCTGGAGCAGAAGTTTGCAACTACAAGCCCAGCATTTGTTGAGCTATTGTGTGTGTTATATGAGCGTGTTTTGAAAAGAGAGATTACAGATTCTGATGCAGCACAGAATTCAGACGTATTGAACACCATCAAAGGAAATAATATGGAGTATGGGCGTGCGTGGTCCGAGGCAGATTTTGTGTACATGCCACTGAACACAGGATCCGAATGGGTACTGCTTGTGGTTGACATACGTGGAAAACTCATCCGGGTTTACGACACGAATGTTTACAGAGGGGGGTTCTTGAAGAAATTGCACCCATTTTTGCCGTCTTTGCAGATGTTTCTGCCAGTTTTAATGGGTAAGTTAGCGGTATATAAGGACAGTACGGATAGCGAAGAATCTCACACTGCGTTTCCAGTTGAACCTATCTTGGAGTGTCCGCGAAAAAAGGACGGGTAAAACTTTTATACCCTGATATTGTTTTTTTGGGTGTTACTGTTGTCCGTTAGGTAGCAAAGTTCACTTAAAAACTATTTGAAGGATAGATGAATTTATAAGTGCATTTTACTTTTTTAATAACAGACCAAGCTCCGGAATTTTTGTGATGAAAATGGCAGAGCTTCTGATGATGGGGAGAGGAGTGATTGAAATCAAGCCAGGACAGATAAATACATATCGGAAGAAAATTACTGCGGACCTATTAATGTATGCTTCCTTTCAAGGACTCTAAATGCTAGGCATAGCAGGGTTATTTAAGTGAATGCATGGTTGCAACCGTCATGGAGACTTAGATCTTTGATACCCGCTAAAAAACAGAATGTTATCTTTTTTTCTTTTCTATGTCCTTTTTTTAAATTTGGAATACTTGTAGTTTTTTCAGGTAGTATTGAAAATGTTAACCGGTTGAGTTTTGGATATCAAATGTTCATTTTGTTAGTAGAAGTGTGGTTATTTTAGAAGAAGCATAGTGAATATTAGAAATGGTGGAACAATTACAAGCTGACTTATACTTGTGCACTGGCTAGGAATGAGGTGTTTTTAATGGTCGGTGTAGTGTGAAATGAATTTTTTTAATGGTGAGTATAGTGTTCTGTAATGGTCATTACAACGCGCTATATCCATGCTGGTTGGTCTATGTGTTTTGTTAATGGTCAGTATATTATGAAATGGGTTGTATGACCAGAGGAGATCAGTGTAGTGTATTGCATACATTGTCAGTGGTAATTATTTCCAAAGTGTCAAAAAACATATTTCGGATAATCTAGGGGCAGTAACATATGATAAAGATGTGGGCAGTGGTACATGAGAAAGTTGTGGGACAGTGTTATATTTGGTTAAAAAATTTGTACTGATTCTTGTTTACAAACTTCTATTAGAACAATGATTTATTTTTAAAACTATACATAGTAATTCGCACTAGAAAACATTAAAAGGACCAAATATGTAATGAGGTTTTATCATAAAACAAATTACGAAGAGGGCAGTACTACTAATAAAAGTTTGTTCCTGTGGTCAAGCAAAAATAGAGAATGACACTAAACATGGCATCCAAAAGCAGCTAATAAAAAACCGTTTAAAAGTGAAATGCATTTCTTCTGTTAAGGAACCTAAAACTCTGTGGTGCAAGATTGATTTTGCTCACGAACAACGTACTGGAAGTGGATTAGTACATGTTTTTTTGTTATGTCCGGACATTGTGCAACGTGAACAAGTCTGCCTCCTCCTCTCACCATTAGATGGAATCCGTCTCTTTTTTGGCCTTCCTGGTGGACGTTTAGTGCATGAAGGCGGAAAACATGGGATAGTGGCGACTTCATCAGGGACTATCCATGAGTCTATAGTAGGAATTGGGTGTATGACTCCATTATACGCAAGTTTCCACTCCACACTTGTGTAGAATGGGGATATGTAGTCATAACATGATAAGCCTGGCCTATTGCGTATTGCGGCAACTGCATGAACACAAACAAAGTGATCTAGTTGAAACTCTCCACACGTGCAGTTCCTCTCACGGAAATTGACAACATAAGACCTTCCTTTTTTATCAACAACCAAGTACTCATATGAGCATGACGGCCGAACCTAAACAAAAAACGGTAAGAAAATGATGGTACGGGAATAACAAAATGATGTGATTAAATGAATATGAATGTGAAAGTGTACCGTCATAACCGCAGATGCCACATGTAGAGCAAGTAGATCAGATTCACATTGTTTGGTCAAAATAGTAGATGTTGAATGAGCAAGTTCCCTACGATCGTGAAACCATTTTTGCATTCGTCCTACAATGAAATCAACAAGCTGAGCAATAGGGTATTCCCGGGGGTCGCATTAACACTATTCATGGACTCCGCATTGTTCGACGTCATTATGGAATAGCGGTTCACATTGAAACATGATCTGGCCCACTTCTCCATGCCGATGGAATATAAATATGGTCTAATCCTCGGATCCTCATCGTCTAGTAGGCTCAGGTACCGATCGCAGTAGGACTTTGTGGGTGCGCGTGCAGCAGCAAAAACTTTCCATCTTAGTGCTTTCTCAGAACCATTGAATTGTGATTTAATATTCCCCAAAATGTGATGAACACAATGACCATGAGGAACACGAGGGAAATGTGCCTTAGCAGCCTTGATGATCCCACCATGACGGTCAGATAAAATGTATTGCACTGGTCGTATACTGAGGGCTTCCTTGAGTTTTAAGAAAAACCAATCCCAATTTGAGTCATTCTCAGCATCACAAATTCCAAAAGCCAAAGGAAATATTTGTTTGTTGCCATCGTGAGCAACATCAGTTAAGAGGGTGCCCTTATAATATGATTTCATGAATGTACCATCGATGACCAAAACTGGGAGGCAGTGAGCCCAACCAATCCTCCAAGCCGACAGAGAAAAAAACATATTTTGGAAAACACCTTTAGGAGACCTTGTGATGTCTATCAACGAACCTCGATTTGCCCGGTCGAGCATGTAACACATGGCTGGCAGCATGGCGTACGACTCTGCATCACTACCGAATGCAAGCTGCATTGCTTTCTTCTTAGCAGACCATGCTTTCTTGTATGACATGGAAATGCCGTGATCCCTACACATGTCCGTCATAATGGCCTTAGGCGGGTATGGTTTGTTGGTAGCATCACTGTACTTGTATTTGACTAAATCAGCAATGATATCATACGTAGCTTGCCGTGTTCTACCCTGGCGTGCATCGATTGGGCATTGATGTTCATGATTATACCTGAGACAAGACAGCATAACATTAAGTGTAAGTTGATTTTTACCTTGAGAGGTGAAGGACAGTGTCTACTCCATTTAAAAGTGCATGATATTTACACACCCCATGGAGAACATGGACAGTGTGTGTGATAACCTGGTGTAGACAGTGTGCTTCGCATACTCGAATTGAAGAAGGTTTGGACAGTAGCCTAGAGTAACATACATATGGGCATTATAGTGTAATAACAAGTTATAGAGATTATAATGTGGGCAGTAAGTGCGATTAAGTTCAATTTTTTTAGCACATTAAATTATAAAGACAGTGTGTCCATATAATATTGAGACAGTGTGTACATTTAACTTTGTGACAGTGTGTCCAGGTTAATTTTGAGACAGTGTCTGTATTAGAGTAGAGTGTTGTGTATTGCAGCGTGTATTGCAACATATACTTAATGATATAATTGTTGAGAAAAAAACATACAACAAATCAATTTCGTGGATGCATCTGAAAACGGAAGAAAACCAACAGAATGTCGCATAAAGTGTGTGAAATATGGACATGTAGAATGCTTTAAGACTAAGACGTACCTATGGATTTGGAACATATCCGTGCGTGGTAATCGAACTGCCCTAACAGCCCAAGAACAACACCTGTTTTCCACACAAACGACGTGGAGAAGCTTCTTGGTCGACCTCTTAGTATGGAACTGGAACAGGTTAGAGATTGCCAACATTTTGAGATGGTATATTAAATCGCCTTTGTTCTCGTAAATCGCATCCAACTCAATTTTAGTTGGATCAAAGCGAGTTACAACTTGGAAATCAAGGTTGGTGCAAATATCATTTGCAGACAAGACAACCGTAGAATTGTCATCGTTATCCAAATTTGGTTCACGTACTACAATGTCCATTGTGTATCCACCATTGTCCCTTTGGTAACTTGAAGGGCAGTTAATCAAAGGGGAATCCATTACGTAATTAGTGGACTGATGTGACGATGACACAGAACGTTCTACGCTTGCAACGTCATTGCACTGGTCAGATAACGAATTGAAACTTGATGGAGTCATACACAACGTTTGGTCATTTGGAAGAGAAGAGCACGTACCTACATGCGTATGGTAATTGTGAAAAAGCTCAATACACATAGGCATTGAATCCAAATCCAAATCCTGCGATTTCATGGTGAGGTATGAATCTAAGCTTTTGTCGTCATCAATCAAAACCGGGTGGGGGGACGAATTGCACTTGTATGAAATCTTTAAAGTAGTATGCTCATTAACTTGGCCAAGTAGCGAACGAACGGCGTCAATAAGCATTCGAAAGGAACTCTCGAATGAGATGATGAGTTCATGAAAACTTTTAGACCTGAATGAGCCATCACTCGTCCATTCACCATCTAGGCACAACAATACACGAAACACGGGTGGAGCTGGATGCGTCGGCATGGATACCGAATTCAGCAACGAAGAAAACATGATAATGAGATGGGTAATCGATCCGGCAGGAGAGAATGTGGCGAGATTAATTTTACCAGAGACGGTAGTGGATATGGCGATTGAGGCGCATGTAGAGTGGCGCACGATCAGGAACTGGAAGGAGGTTTATCGCAGGGAATCAAGAGGGCAATCAGTTTATTCCTGAAAAATAGGGATAATTAATGATTTGTTTTCCAAAAATAAGTAAAAATTAGAAGGAATGAGTTTTAATGGGCTTTGGAGACGGAAGGGTATGCACGGTATTAGGGATGAAATTTAGTGCTAGAGAGAGGAAAAATAAGTAGTGGTGTCATTTAGGTAAAACACCTATGTTTTGGTGCTCTCTTGGGTAAATTTCACTAATTACTACTTACTTACTCCCGTCTAATTACTTTCCATTCTTTTATTTAATTTAATTACTTCTCAATTAAATTTTACCATAAATACTTTTTTTGTAGCTACAAACCACGCTCAAGTCAACTAGGGGTGTGTTCGGTTTTACATGAAAAAAATATGTAAATGGTTGATTATTCAGTTCGGTTTTATACAGTTTTTATTTTGGGTTTTTTCGGTTTATAAAAATAAAAATGTAAAAGCATTAAAAACTTGTAAGAATACTAACCCGATGAAGGAAGAACAATGTGTAACTTTGGGTTCGACTTTTTGGTTTGATTTTTATACAAAACCAAAAGCCAAACGGAAGGTTAGTGTTCCATTTGGTTCAATTTTACCAAAAAAAATATGTGTCGAGTGTCCAACAAACATCTAGGAGATTCCAAATACTCCCAAACACATCCTATGTAAATATACGGAGAAGTGCACTTTTTGGTACGGAGTATAATTTTTTCATTTTCATTATACCATCAAAGTTTTTTATGTAAGTATGTAAATTACTCGGATCAATGTTTAGTATTAATATAGCATTAAGATTGATTAAGTGTATAATATGGTATAAAATGTTTAGTTAATAGTTAAAAAATAACTTTAATTGACTAGCCAACTA